TGACCAGCAAGTTACAGTACTGTAGGAATGTAATAGTGACCTTTTGACTAACCACAGAGATTCAGTTATTGTAATCATCCTGTTATTGACCAGCAAGTTACAGTACTGTAGGAATGTAGTAGTGACCTTTTGACTAACCACAGAGATTCAGTTATTGTAATCATCCTGTTATTGACCAGCAAGTTACAGTACTGTAGGGCTGTAGAATTGATCTCTTGACCAGTCAGGGAACTACTGTAGCTTAAGATAATAGTGAAATACATTAATGTAAGAATATAGGAATGACCTCTTGACTAACAGTCATGTACTACTGTCAATATTTCCTTAGTTATGCTACAAATTTGTTTTTCTATTGTATACAGTACAATGCAATCTACCTGGTCATACTTGTATTCACCTGAAGTTTGCAGCTAAAATTTTGATTTATTAAGCCACTTTGCTGTTTTATGCATATCCATATGCCACAGGCTAAATACATAAGTTTGTGTGTTCTGATACTCGAATCTTTTTGTTAACATAAATTAGTGAAATTATTTAAAGCCATAGCAAGAATTATTATTTTATTATTATATGTTTCAGTTAGGCGATTGAAAAGAATTGAAATTTTACTAAAAAAAATAAAAAGACAGGCAGTGGTTTACTATTCCATAGCTTCAATTCCATTCATTGGTGATTTATCGTGGCTGTATATAAATACGTCATACAGACACACCAGTTAGCCTGGCTGTCAACTCTACAGTAAGTGATTTGGTGTCTCTAAGTAGTTTACTGTAGACATTAAGTACAAGTTTTTAACTTGGCTTGTTAGAGGTTTCTCTTTAGATCGGGAGGAGAAGTAATTTGGGGACTTAATAGTTACTCACGATTGTGACATCTTCAACTACTCACATACAGCTAAGCAAAATAGCTGTTAGGACCAACTTTTTACCTCGAGTCATGAAAAATATATAGCACACCTATGAAAAAATAATTAGAAATAATATCAATAGTACAATCATTTTTGAGTGCTGTAATGATTTTAAAATGCTAATTTTAACATATTTAAAAATGAACTATTTTTTGACACACTAAACACGTGATGTCATTACTCCAAACCTAAGTTCAGTATGAGTATAATTTCCAGGATTTTACAGCTTGGGACCAGTAGAGGTCATGAAGGTGCATTGACCATGTTTTTAGATGACCGAGGTACAAGATTAAAACAACAGAAACTGTTCATCTTGTGAATTGTGAGCCAATGAGTTTTAAGGACTTCTTTTTCACATTCAGACTTGTTTTTTTTTCTGTGACTGTTTATTTGTATATAAACAAATATTAGAATTTTCATATTTCAATCCTTGTGTTACAGATTGTGATTGTTACATTCGGTTTTAGTTTTGTTTGATGGCTAGTCACCACTGTTTACCATAATTTATGTACATAATTCTGCTGTATTTTTAATGTAAAAATACTTTTGATATGAAAGTTGGTACCATTTTGTAAGAGTTAGTTTTACAGATCATCAAGCTATTTAAGTAGTTTTATTTACTTTTTTTATTTAACTTCAACTCCAACAATGAAATGATTATGACGGTTTGGGACTTCCAGCTGGATTTTTTTATATATTTATGCCTGAAGAAGGGCTGTTATTTGTCTGAAAGCTTAGACTTTAATAACATTTTTAATCTTGTATTTTTACCATTTTGTTCAAGTTGTGGTTTTGAGGCGTAAATTTTAGTTCTTTTCTTAATTTTTCCCTTCGATAATATTAATGACACTGATACTTGAACTAAATTAGTGATTACTAAATATATAAGTATCTAATGAAACTGATTGTAATTTCCTCTTTAATTATCATAAATTTGTAGAGGTACAAAGTGTGTCGTGTTGTTGGTCAAGTGCTTATTTTTCCATCTGTATTTACTTACTTACTTACTCAATATATTACTCCATTGCTGATAGCATTTGAGATATTTTTAACGTCATTGCTATTGTTTAATGTTCCACAAATATCTATGTTTTTTGTATGACTCTTGTTATTGCTATTAAATATTTAACTACGTTGTTAAAAAATCAAGATAATCTTGTTGTACGTGTATTTAAAAAACAGAAAGCGGTTCTAGGTTTGCTCCATTTTTAAGGCTTAATAAGGCAATATCACTTAGCTGATAAGCCTTGTTCTTTGTTTTTAATCATTTCCAGTGTATGGTAACTTTGATGTACATGAAATGATTTTGTTTTCAGAATAGATACCAAGATAATTTCTTTCAGTGTATCAGTTTTTTAAAAATGCTAATTTTTTGGTTTATTCTTTTTAATTTGGTTAATGAATGAGTAAAATTGTTTCCACATATAAACATTTTTAACCTCAATAGTAAAATGAATTATTAATAAAGGCCTGGAACATTATGAAACAAATAAGAAATTAAGGGTTTAAATACTAACTGCCACTACCTATGTGCCTGAATAAAAAGCGAAAAAAAAAAAATTTTTCAATATGGTTTTTATGAAGGTCAGTTTCTGTAATAGATTACAGAAAAAAAGTATTACCAACATGAGTTCAGCCTGTTTAACCTTATTTATAATATTCATGGCATAAGTGAAATACCAAAATTCTCTCTCTTTTTTTGGTGTTCAGATTTTAAGTTTTGTTATCTACCAATATTTATGCTATTTCTCTTATTACACCTGTAAATTCTTTTAAAGTTCTTCCTAACAATTATCACCATACCTTTTTAAACTTCAATTTTGTGGATAATAACGGGGTTTCGATTAGTTTTCAGCCAAAGAGACATAAATGTTATCGGACACTGGTAATGTCCACTCAGGCTTAAGGAGTCAATGATATCAGCATTTGATACTGTCTGTAAGTTTATGAGCTCTTGATACTGAATGCAAGTGCTAGGAGCACTCGGTACTGACTATAAATTTTATGAACACTTGGTATTGTATGTAAATGTTATAAGCACTCGGTACTGGCTAAGTTTATGTGCACTTTATACTGACTAAGTGACACTTCTGGTATGTACAAGTTGTGAGTTGGTGAACTTTGTGAGTATTGTGGCTATGTATATAGAATCCTTTGCATATTCTTTGTTTCCTGAAATAGGTGTTGAATGATATGTCAAGGTTTTGTGATACTTGTTAACGTATGAACAGTTTGGCACAAGTTCTCGCGACACCATCTTTTTAGAAATATCATAACACTTACTCCTTAAACTTGTTCAAGGATGAAGAACAGTTAGTCAGTAGTTAGTTTAAGGATGAAGAACAGATAGTCAGTAGCTTGTTTAAGGATGAAGAACAGATAGTCAGTAAATTGTTCAAGGATGAAGAACAGTTAGTCAGTAGATTGGTTAAGAATGAAAAACAGTTAGTCAGTAGTTTGTTAAGGATGAAGAACAGTTAGTCAGAAGTTTGTTAAGGATGAAGAACAGTTAGTCAGTAGTTTTTTACTGACTATCTGTTCTTCGTCCTTGAACAATTTACTGACTAACTGTTCTTCATCCTTGAAAGTTATTGTAAGATTTTGCTTCTGAATGATTTTGTCTCGGTGTCTACAAAACCAACTGAACTTGTCGGGTGATATACAACCAGTCTTAGATTTCAGACATTTTCCTTTTACTGTCGTTAATCATTGTTATCACTGACTAAGAGTTGACAATGTTTCGTATGGTAGAGTAGCTGCTTTATTATAATATAAAGGTTCCTTTTGAAGTCACTTTAGTACAGATTCAACAGGTAAGATCGAGGACTAGAGTATCTAATGTAATGATGCACATTCTTCAGGGAAACTGAATTGTCAGAGGAGAATAAAGGTAGAATGACAAATTAACTTAGATGGAGTATTTGCATGTCAAAATCTTTGTATACTTTACTGGCATATTGTTATTCATAATATTCGGGAATATGTATATACTGTCATTAAGTGTTGCAAAGCTAGAAGAACTACCTTCGATTTGTAAACTTTTAAATTAAGCCAGGTTTTAAAGGTGTTATTTTGGTAAAGGGAAGCATTGTGGTTTGTTGTAATTTTTTGTGTATATATATAATTCTTGTTTTTTTTATTTTGGTGGGTTGAACTATCTTGCCTTCGAGAGCCTGAGCGTGCTTTTAATTTTTACTGTTGATGATACTCCTTCATTACCAATGTAAATTTTGTTGTTGTTATGATAAAGTCTGTATCATCCTGTTAAAATATTTAACTTACATTTATAACTGGTGGAATTTCCAGTGTATTCTTATGATAGATAGCACTAAGCAGAAGATCATGGGTGAGTAAACTCTGTATTTTCGTATAAAGTCATTAAAGCAAATTGTCTTGTTCAGTTTAGCCCTACAAAAAAAAATTCCAATTTCTCAATTTTTGTCAGGTATACTGTACATAAATGTGTGATTAGTTAACTTTCTACAAATCATATCTATATAATTTTGTGGATATATAGATATCAATGTGTGGACAAACAGTTAATAATAAATATGACTATTTGCAGAATAAAAAAAAGAGTTTTTGCTTATTTTCTTTTCTTGTGGATGTGGTAAGAAACCAGAAATTTTTGTGAATCTGATAACATTAGTTTTATTAAAGCAAGGATTAAAACTGTTGTGTCTCGTTTTATAGGATGACTACTGTAAAATTGAGTCAGTTATATTATCTTAGAAACAACAGCTGAACACTAATCAGTTATTTAAAAAAAAAATATCTACTCGTGGTTATTCTATGTCTTTACGCTAACCTATAAACAGGACCCTGATTTTAACGTGACAACATAATCAAAGTTTGAACTTCTAGACTGATTCAAGAAGAAACATCAACTCCGGCTGTTCTAAGGTGAAAAACCCACTCAGATTTATGTGTCTTCAAACATCAATCTCTGAGGCATCACTGCGTATTTGAAAGATTAGGGGCTCGGGGCTCATAGGCATAGAAATTTTCGGCATTTCATTATGATATCGATCATGGGTTTTCTATTCTGATTTTTCAAGACATCAACTAGGAATTCAGAGCACTGTCAAATAGAATCAAAGCCGTGGCCCCCATGCGCCAGTGCCTGGTGATGCCTCTGGCATTCATCTTAAGGTTGTCTTGGTGATGTATTTTGATCATCTTCTAATCATGATGGTTCTCATGTAAACTTCACTTCTTGCTGTTTCTATAACATGTTTTTCTGAGACAAAGTTGTTAGCCTTATGCTCAACCTAGAGTACCAGGAGTATAAAACAGTCTCCAGCATAGCTTTCAGGGTTATACGAGATACTCAAGCGAGACTCTAATCTCGACATTGGTACATGGCCTTGTCTTCAGGCTGAACAACTTTGTTTCATTCAAAAAGAAAAATTAGGATTTTCAGGGGCCTCTTGTATAGAGAAAATGTATTTTCAGTAACTTAAGATGTTTAGTTTGGAGGTCCATGCACACACTGGTTTTCCACTCATCTTTATATGGAAAAGGTAAAGATGAATATTTATAATACTAACTTAGTTGTGTCTTAATGGTTAACTTTATAATTTGATATTTACTACTGGGCTGTAGGTTTAACATGGCTGGTAAGATTTAATAATGAATTAAACGTCCTGATAGAGATGACAGGTTACACTTAAAAATAAAAATGAATCTATGTAAGACAGAAGCCAATTGTAATCAAACTTTATTTTATTCCTTGTAGCTGATATGTCTACATCATTTACTTTGTGAGCAGAAGTTAATTATAGTCGACATTGTCTGTACAAACCACTTCAGACTAGATTTATATTATCGCACTTGGTACTAGCTCACTTTTAATAGACTAACCAATGACACTGTGCTGCTGCTCTTTATCGATTATATAAAGTATTTACTTTGTTAAAATATTTTCTGATATAAGATCAAGGAACACTGACTTAATTATACAATAAGACCATAAATAGTTATATACACATCAGTTTCTGGCAGTGACGATACCAGAATACACCTCATTGCCTGTTCATTCCATTTATCATGATGTTGGCTAAAGCATTTCTCCGTCTTCTCCACCTGCCCAGGTCTTTGGCGTGATATCTAAGCTGTATAAGCCATTCTAGTGTTTCTTTCCGAGTGTCTCCCTGTTAGAGAATATACAAGCTGTGAATATCTTTAATGTCATCCACACACACTACCTAGGTGCACGTTGTCCACTTGTAACAATTATCAGTTCAAAGTCCATGGTAATGCTTCTCTTCATATTGTGAACTTTGTACATTGTTATTTTGAATATCTCGAGGTTGATTTAACTCTTCTGCTGCTTAGAGAAAATATCCTTAAAATTAAAAGTTTTCATTTGTGTATTGTGATTGTTTCCTATATCTGGTTTCTTAGGTACGTCAATCTTACATCTTCAGGAGTGGGCAGTTTTACTTTTCAATGAACCTACTGCTGTATATGTAACAAGAAATAATTGCTTATAATTCTGTAACAGCAAATGGTTGAATAGTTAGCTATAAATCCAGTGAGTACATATAATTCTAAAAAATATCATGTACACTGGACTTTAGAACCACTAACGTGATTGTATTACTGTTTAAATATTTCAGGAATTCAATAACAAGATTTTGTGACTTAAACTCGTTCTCAACATGCATCTATAATAAAATTCGTGATAGCTCAAGAATGGATTACTCAGAATAGCTGCAAGTTTTGAACCTATTTACTGTATGTGAAGAAAGAAAAACCAGTAGCAATGGAATATGAGCTTACAAGGTATCCATATCGTAACTAGCTGTATACACACTTCAGATAACAAGAAACTTTTTCTTTCAGAAACCGGACAACTTATGATGAAATGTGCTGATATTTACTGATCTTACAGTGCACTCTGGTGTGTGAATTTTAGCCAAACCAGCATAAGAATCAAATATTTTCAGATATAGTCTTTTGTTGTAACAGATACTTGTGCACCTTTAGTTTAAAATAATTTGTGCTTTCCTTCTGATGTTCAAGTGTGCTTAGTCAAACACCAATAATAATATTAGTATTGTAGTTCCTGTTGGTGTTTTCCAAGTTCAATCGGAGATTTATATTCTTCTGGTCATCCATGATTTCTTCCTGGAAGTATAGTTCTACAAAGAAGACACCTCACCATTGCAATGAAGATGGTACTAATTTATTTATCACCAAACCGGATGGAGGAAATAAGAAATTAGTTACATTTATAAAAAACACAATAATCTGTGAAGGTAAACCAAGACAAACTTATATATGAAAGTACTCACGAGGAAACTAGACTTGCTGGAGTATAAAGTATGGTTTGATTGAAAATTCACACACCAGAGTGCGCTGTAACATTAACAGTTTCAACCGTGGCACCTTTATATTTGTCAATAATACACAAGTAACGGACTTACTGTCAAAGAGGAACACCGATGTATACAGTTAGTTTTGATTAAAGTGAAGGAAATAAACTCGACAATAGGATCGAAGTATTTCACATGTGGAGAGTTTGTTAACCATAAATGAACGGGACATTTTTTTATCTAAAACAGAAATAACTTAACGTTAACCTATTGGTCAATCTCAGCTGTTCCATCCTCTAAACTAAATTAAAATATTTTTTTAAATATCTTAAAGCCAGCCCTTATCATTCATATACTTATCAAGCTTTTTTCTTAAATTTACTGCCTTTACAACAATCCAAAAGCCAACCACCCTGTTAGAAAAATGAAACTGTCTTAGCTGAAGATGACTCCTACGTTGCCAAAATTTATATTTGTGTCCCCTAGTCCTACTACTGTCACTGTCAAATCCCATTACAATCTAAAAAGCACCTCAATCAGACCCCCCCCCCTAATTCTTCTTTTTTTTTCAAGAGAAACTCTCCTCCTGTTAGCATTCTGGTTTTAACTCAGTTGTGATGTTATTTATGTGTGTGTGTGTGTTTATGTACTTAGTTTGTAAGCTTCTTTTTGGAAGTAAGCTTTACACAATAATTCTCGCACATGAACTCTTCCCGAGTTTCGAGTCAAATGAATTACTACCAAGGTAAAGTGAAGTCCATCTATTAAACATATATTGAAATCTATCGTTGTGAACGTCATAACTAGTCATCTACAACTTGCTTCACCCAGTACTAGGTGGTTGACCACTGGTATAGGAGAACACCCAGTCACTAATACAAGTTAAAACATTACAATGTAAACTTGAGTAGTATTATGTGATTATTTACTGGTACCACATAGCTAACATAACTTAAAACTCTGTGAAAGTAATTGATGAATAAGGTTACGAATACAAGTAAGTTCGTAACTGACAAACAGTGGTGGATCTTACAATAGAAACTTGTTTTAAGTTTCAATGCTACATGAATATAATGTTTCTTATTTACAATGCTATACCATTAATACTTTATAAGTATATTATGTGACTATTAAGGTAAAGCATGTGATGTGTGTTCGTCCTGAAGAAGGCTGTGCCATCATATTCGCTGCTACGTGTGGATAAAGAAAAGATATTTTTCCTACCTTGAAGCAGTAAGCTTCCTTGGTTGTGTACTCTTGCACTTCGAACGATTCTTCACACTCAGAGTCACAGCTTACGATACAACTACCTAGATGGAGTGGTTCCTGTAAGTACAAACATTTAACAGATTTAGCGAACGTTCATTTTTCAATTGAAAGATAAAAATAGTTTGTTCATGACCTGGTGGTTTTATTTACCATTACCCGGCTAAAACGGACATAAACTATTAAAACAAAATCTGGATATACAAACGTCTTTACAAAACCTTAATAACTCCATAAAACATTAGGTTTAACACCTAACGATTCACTTTGTAACGTCACAGTGCTACAAGAAGTTTATGTTTTAACTGTTAACATTAAGAATAAATAAAAAAAAATTGGCTAATGACTAACGTAGGATTTTGTGTTTTTTACAATGTGCCAGAAGAGAAATTATTTTAACTGTTAACAGTTATAGATAATATTGTTAACCTCAAGACTTACCCTAACTAAAATAAAACGACCATTTTTCTCCTTGATTAACAACAAGCTGGCATCTCGGATTCCTGTATTGCGTGGGAACAGGATGGATTTCTCGTTGGCCAGGTCGGGTCTATAAGTGGTGTTGGGTTTTCCCAGAGTTACTAGTAATGCATGAATGTGTGTAAACTTTAGTATTTTGTTCTTCTTATTCCACATGTGATCTGTAATCTGAGTATAGTAGAGTTTTCCAGCCATTACGAAACGGACTTCATCTCTATTCCACTGCAGAACTTCTAGCGCCATCTATAGAATAGCAACACAACGACCGAAATCCTTATTTGTATGGAATTTCTAGATCACCGATATAAAGACTTCAAAATGAAATATACTGATGTTTTTTGCAAATTTGAAATGATTAAAAACTACTCATATTTAAAATGATGAATAAGAAATGCTTAGCATTAAGAATTAAAACAATTAGTTGGTTTGAGTAACCGATGTTTAATACTGGATAAGTGTCAGAACAATATATAAAAGTTAGTGTGTGTCACGTCACACTTGATTTATCGAAATAGGGTGAGTGATAAAAGCAAAATGCATTTATCCAGATAGAATAGTTCGAGTTCTGTCTGTCCATTACGATTTTAGTGTCGGGGGTGAAAAGGTGCCGTGAAACCTTGAAAGTGTAGTGAGTTTTGGTATAATAAGCCTAAAGTAAAGACAAAGTGTGTGATCACCTAGCCTAGAGCCAAGTGTATAAAATGTATTATGAAAGTAAAAATATCGATTCAAGTTTAAACTTAAATCGTTTTTTGAATTAATTTATTGTCTGTTATATCACCAACGTTCTTAATAAAAACAAACTTTTTTAATCAACAAATATCATTCCAGTTTTGTTGGCTATACCATTTTATACTTTCAGTACATAGACTAAGAACAATATTAGGTTATACTTATGTTGCTAAGCAACGTGACCAAAACGCACTGGCTTTTCTGTATATTAGAAGTTGTTAATTTAACCAATAATTATTCTATAAATACACCACGAATTCATTTCATGAATGATCTTAATTTTGATTGGCTCACAAAGGAAATTTACCGACGTTTTACTGCCTCGACTGAACTTTTTTACCTCTTTGTTGGTCAAGCTTGATTTGGTAAAATTTATTTCAGTTAGCGATGAAATATGAGGTTAGTGTATACTAAAGGGTGGGGGTGGTTGTACTTTTCCCGTTATTCTTGACGGGCTATACGCTAGTTACAAATGTTAGAAAACAACTCTCCTGGCGGAAGATGTATTTTCAGATGCATTAAACAAAAAAAAGGGGGGGAGAGAAACATTTAATATTTCATTACTTAAACTAGTAAACTGTGACTCTTTTGAAGGGGAATGCAACAAACTCGCATGTCGTTAACGTAACACTTCTCAAGACTTAAAACTATAATTATACAGTATGTCCTATGGCAGACTTAAAAGATATAATGAACACCAACGGTCCTAGCCTCTTCAGTGTCCGTTCCTCAGGTTTGTGATTATGTAGATTTGGCTATTTCATATTATTGGAAATACAAAAAAATAATAAATTTAATTACCTTTCTTAGTTTGATAATCCCGATATCGTTGGAAAATTGCCGGTTAGAGTTGCTAATATTTGATATCCGTCTCCAAATCTTTGTTCCTCCAGCACCCTTGGTTTGCTACAGACAAAAAGGTTTTGAATATTCATCAGTCCACGATTATCGTATGCTTTGTTCAAATTACAACAAACCAGGAGTCCACAATGTTGCGAAGAATACTGTGTGTGGATAACACACGAGCATTCCTTAAATAGTAAAACTTTTACATTATATTAAATAATTGTTTCTGTTAACACGCCGTGTAAAACACGGCAATTTCACCCACTTTCTATGTAACATAAATACAGTTTTAAACAATATTATTTTAATTATAAAAATATCAAAAACCTCCACAACTACCACGAAGAAAGAAAGAAGGAAAAATGCAAGATTATTATGTAATCGGTATATGACCCTGGTGCTCATTCAGAGACCTCTGCCCCCCCCCCCCCACTTATTGTTTTCAAACTTTTTATTATTATTTATGTTAGATTTAATAGTTTCTTATTTTCAGACTTTTTTTTTACTATAATTAATATTGCGTTCTTTCTTTTTTTTTTTTTGCTATCTGTGTTAATTTCAAGTAAAAGAAAATGAAATAGGCAAATAATGTGAAAAAAATTACGCTTCTTATTAGATTCCTGCAAAATATTTTAATATAAATTTAGGGTTACAGCTATATTAAACAAAAAAATTACACCACCAGCGGAAAAATAGGTTTAAAAGTCTACCTTTTTTGTATATTAAAACTGAAACTCACCTAGAATCTAGATATAACGATCATTCGCCTGAAATCTTGTCTGAAGTAATTACTAGACATCGAATGTGAGGTTATTTATAATTGGACGTCATCTGCTCGAACCAGCACGTGTGTCTCGTGCTTTTGAAACAGCTAGTGTTATATTACGTCATGGCCAGCTAATGAAAACAAAGCTGGAGATACCCTAATAAACCAATTGTTTCCTCACAAACACACGTAGAAGCCGAAGTTATGGCGAATTTGACGTCACTGGAAACTCCTTTAATAAATCCCGCCCAGATGTGCGTTCCCCGACTGTCTCGAGGAGTACACATTTTTTTTGTAAAAACTTCCTTGAGTTGTAATGTTAAAAACGGGAACCAAGTTTACGTAATTGTGAAACGCAGAATAACAAAATTCACGAGATCACCGATATTCTACGATAACTAGAAGAGTCGTTATAAGTCTTAGATTTCCTCGCTCTTAGCGGAGTTATTGGACATTAGCCCAAGAATACCCGACAAAGTTAGGCCTGCTTATCCAGTTACTAAGTACCGAAGCAGAACTGTCACATGTAAAGCTTCGTGTATCATACCTACCACATTGGGCCAATGTAGTTATTACTATTTAAATTATTCAATTTTTATATATTGAATTTACTTAATACTATAAATAACTAACTTGAATATTGAACCAATCAAATTTAACAGTCTAAATTACATAAACACATGTAAATTTATGTTTCATTTAGCACGTAGCACGTTTCGGCTGGATATCCACAGAACAATAGCACAGCCTGTTTATATGATTTTTCGAGCTACTGGACATGTTAAAATTGTTTCAATTCACTAGCATGTTTAAGGTGACCTTACTAAAGTGAGTCTGCCCAGTGGTCAGGCTTAAAAACAGGGTTTATGAAGAAGACAGTCCAAAGTTGATCAATTCTTAAATGGCGAAAGATAACTTAAGAAATGTTAGCTTAGAATTTGAGGAAAGTTAAAGATAACATATCTGGTATTAAATCTCTATGTTGCGATAAATGCTTAGCCTGGTGTTGGAGTATATAAGGTTAGGATATAAAATATTACGTTCGTATGTGATCTATTCCGAGTCAACTGCCACACCGTGTTAAACATGACTGACTCAGTATAAATAAGCGGTTAAAAAAAAAAACGTAATGCGTTATTAATCACAATTTTAAACTTAACTTTACAATTCCTCATGCTACACGTGGTGACACGGTTATATGCGCGAGGGCGTGGCAGTTCATCACGAGGAACGTGGACAATTCCACGAGTCCTTGGTGTGAATGAAACAGGATATCTCACTGGCTAATGTGTAACGGACTGTACCAGTCAGTCTAGTTCAACATTTCACGCATAACTTCCTTTTTGTTTTACACACACACACACATATCCGACGTTGCACATCATGGTTACCAAAGTAATGACACCAAACCTACAACGGAAATTGTCCGAGAGGAAGACGCGTATCATATTATCTAACTTGGCGTCAAATTGAGTGTACTGCATAAGCTGATTACTCATTACTTCACTGTAATTAAAAATTAACTTTTTTTAAAAAATACTTTTTTCAGGTTCTGAATTTTTGTGTGTGTGAAAATATGTTGTTAACTGTGTATCTTCAACTGTAAGTGGCCTAGGGGTAGGTATGCTTGATTCACCTGTTGTGAGTGTCTGTTTTTTCAGCAGATAAATCAAGTTAACCGGAACAGGAACGTAGTACTTCCAGTATGGCGGAAAATCCATTACCCCTCGACTCGATACGTCACCTTGAGAGCACATTTTCAAGTAAAATTGCTAAGAGACACCTGATGACAGGTTTAAAAAGCAACAATAGTTGGACGCCTTCCAAGTGTACGTGTGTTAGAACTGGGATTTTATAACTTGGTTTTAGCTTATCGTATGATTCATCTTGAACAGTTCTTGGACCGAACCATTTAAATTTCATCTATATATATATATATAGAGAGAGAGAGATTGATTTTTCAGTCGCTCTGGGTCAGCTTATAATGGCTGTACATACAGGTGACTACAAATGTCTCTGCATACAGGTGGCTACAAATGTCTCTGCATACAGGTGGCTACAAATGTCTCTGCATACAGGTGGCTACAAATGTCTCTGCATACAGGTGGCTACAAATGTCTCTGCATACAGGTGGCTACAAATGTCTCTGCATACAGGTGGCTACAAATGTCTCTGCATACAGGTGGTTACAAATGTCTCTGCATACAGGTGGTTACAAATGTCTCTGCATACAGGTGGTTACAAATGTCTCTGCATACAGGTGACTACAAATGTCTCTGCATACAGGTGGTTACAAATGTCTCTACATACAG